TACATTTCACTGTGTGTTATACTTGTATAACTATGCATGTTACAAATAGAGAACCTTGACCTTGGGGGGTGCCCTGTTTTGTCCACAATGTCTTTCTTGTCCTTACACCTGTATTACCTCCTAAGGCACAGGTCCCAGCTTTGAATTTTGTTCCAAACAAAAATAAAACAAAATGATGAAAAGAAGATTGGACTCTTTGCCCTTAATACCAAGAGTCATGTCTGGAGGAAACAGGCACTGTTCATCACCTGACCAATACCATCCCTAAAATAAAGCATGGTGGTAGCAGCACCAAGCGCCAAGCAATTTTTCTTCAGCAGGAATTAGAAGACTAGTTGGGTTTGATTCAGGAATTTATAGAGACATGCTTGATGATAATCTGCTCCAGAGTGCTCTGGATGTCAGACTTGGTCAAAGGACAAAAACCCAAAGCACACAGCCAAGATAACAAAGCAGTGGCTTCAGCACTCTGTGAATATCCCTGAGTGTTCCAGGCAGAGCCCAGACTTAAAACCTCTGCAGAGATCTTAAAATGGCTGTGCACTGACACTCCCCATCCAACCGAGGTCTTCAAAGTCAGCTTAATAATAACTAGTTCAAAATTCAACAAAAGTGCCTTATAACTTAGAAACTATGATTCTTACAGCATATGATTCTTAAAGCATGTTGTGTATTGTCAATATGTAGAACATACTGTATAGAAGTTTAAAACATCATTGTCACATTTGACCTCTGACCTCTCCTTAACATGGATGTATTGACAGCAAGAATGACAGACAGAATTTTAAATTCTACAAACGATATTTTAAGTGTCCAAAAAGGACTGGATTGATTATGATGTAGAACACAGAGTATGTTTAAAACTGCTGAGTCATAAAGCCTCTTGCAAACCAGGTGATTTCTTTATTTGATATATTCTGCTGACTACAGGCTATTTATGGACATAAGGAAAGATATCAGACATAAAAAACACATAGAAACATTGTAAAATCACTTTTTTTGGCTGATGATTACTGTTTGGCCCTCCCTCACTTTGTACTCTGGTAGCAATAAGTCTGAGTCTGACTCCTCTTCTACAACTATGAGTAAAGTCCTTCCTTCCTCACTCCGCCCTCAGCTTACTTAAATATTGACATGGGTGGAGGTATTAGTAAGACTTGTTGTCCACTACAAAGGACACTGAGTGAACGTTTAGTTTTGAAAGAAATGCCTGTAACCTGAAGTTAAGAGTGTCATACTGAAGAAGAAGTTTGCAACATAATCACTTAACCTCCTTTTTTTCCTATGAGCTACAATGACGTCGCTCTGAAAACAAAGTCCATGTTGTCTTTTAGCTTAACCCAGCATGGCATCTTCACAGTACAGTAGGATTCATTTATACTGAATTGCGCTTGAGTTAAAAGTCTTAGACTCATGTTCCCCAAAGAGAACAAAAATGAACAGTTGTCTTATCATTAATTACCGATGATCACAATGTTTTCGTATAATTATGGTCCTGGTGAGTTAATATTCATGTGACCGGTACTGGGCGTGGCTTACAACGTCAATACTGATTGACGTGGTTGGCACGACCAGGAAGCCAGGAGTGACATCACTTTCCAGAAGTCCCCTTCAGGTTTGATCGGCGGAGAGCCACAGCGAAGCAAAGGCAAGAAAAAAAAAGGCGTTCGCTGCTATCTGAAATTCAGGAGCGTTTAAGCTGACTTTTCAACCAAAAATTTAAAAGGTAAGACGGCATTTACCAAATTGTTGTAGCAAAGCCTTCCTAGTATTAACTGTTACATCCTGACTTCGTGTACCTTACAAGCTAACGTCGTTACGGCTAGCTCTCTGCGTTCCTGCTGTTTATGTCGGAACAAAGGGGGTCTGCTTCTCGGCTCCTCCGCTGCTTTTCTCTTGATATGCACACCTCCCAGTGTGTTCTCATTTCAGCTATTTTTTTTTAGCAGCGTTATGACTGCCCAAAATGTACCCGTCGTCTTAAAGCACCTCATTAATATTTAATGGTTGTGCGGCAAGGTTAGCTAACGGTTATTCGCAACACTTTAGTGTCGTAAAACTTAATGATTGTCATATGATTTAGACGCAACTGAACGACCTCATTAAAGTCATAAAGACGCTTAGCCATTATTAGAGTATTATGGCAATGGCGAACCTGATATTACTGACCAGTCGTCTGAAAAATGCAGTTCCTGTGTTGTTATAGCGTTAAAACAACAGCCTAAAGCATAACGGTATGCTAGCTATCTTAAGTCCTGTAATGTAACGTGGTACAGATAAATAGGGCACATTAGCAAGGGTGTGGGCTTTTTTTTAAACCTTTTCAGTCCTTCTCCCTCCCTCTTTCGTTTTCCCAGCCATGTCAGTAGACCGGAATAAGCTGCCAGGAAGACCACATTCTTAGATCGAACCAATTCGTTCAGGCTTACTGAAGTTGGCCTTCTCTTTTCTTTCCACTATCCATCCAAGCTTTTTGCTTCGCTGGCTCCATATTATCAGGCTGAATAGAAGTGATGAAAAGTGCTTTAATTCAGTATTTTAGTTTTTGGGGAACTTGGACTTTGCTTGCACTCTTCTATTCGATCCTGCTTCACACTCCCAGGACAGAGTTATTGTTGTTTTGTCTATTTTGTCTGTTTTCGTTTTAATTTCTTTTCTTTTTAAATATTTTTCTTAGTTTCCACAGTGGGTCTGCTCTTTAGTTTTGTGCTCTTTTTTTTAAAATATACTTTTACTAGTATTGTATTAGTTTAGTTTTTATTCATAATAAGTGAAGGGTTGAGGGAGCATATTTATCAAGTGCAAGTCATAACAAATATATAAGGTATAACAGTAATATAAATGTAAAATAATGTAAAAGATGGCTGCTGCTACTGTAAAGCCACCTACTGTCATGCTTAGTCATTCTGTAAAGAATACGCTGCTTTATCCAACTTCTTGATTCATTTGGGGACCATAATTTCCAAAATAAACATTGTATTTTATTCAAAACTAGTAATATAGAACATGGATTCAGGAAATAGGAAAGTGTTTATTGAGGTCATGGATTAGGTCAGCAGTACGGTTATTTTCCATGGACTAGATCGACCATCGACTAGATGTTTGTTTTTATTGTGAGGAATCTCCCCCTGCAGACGATTAGAGACATTTCAGGTCTCAGGCACTCCTGATTTGGCTTCACTTTTCAGACTTCAAAGGTACAGCTGTTTTTTATATGCAGTCTGTGTACAATACATGCCACCTTTGACTTTCAGTTATGACCAGTTTCAAAAAACATAGTTAGTTTTACATGCCCACAAGTTAATAATAAAAGACAAATTACTTAAAATTAAACTTTTTTTTATTACCTGCTTGTAGTTGTGTTTTTTGTGAACTATAATAAGCTTTGTTCCTGGCCATGTCTTATTCTAGTGTATGCAGATGAAGATTTGCTTTAAAGCCATGTGATATGGACTTTTTGTGTTGTGTAAGTTTTCTTTGAAATGGTTGCCTAGTCACAGCCCTGTAGGTTTCAGATGAATGTCTGAGCTATTTCCCCTTTGGCTTTTTTTCCCACAGGGTTTCTTTATTTCGAAATTATCTTAAGATCCCAAAAAAGCAGAGTAAAAAAAAGAAAGAAGTTTTGTGAATTGTGAAACTTTCACAATACAGGCTGGGGAAATGCTCCTCACAAGCCACAGACAACCTGCAGTATAAATGCTTTTACTTTAGCGCATTTAGCTGATGGAAATATCAGCTGCCCACTTCTTTTAAGCTGCAGATGCAGAAGTGAGTCAATGATGGGATTGTGTCATGGCAAAAGTTGGTCAGACTCTCCTTTTTTTCCACCACGGTTACTCCCTTATACCGAAAACCTGCAGATATGAAGGAGGGATATAAGGAGAGCAAACAAACAGAGCTGAAAAGTAAACAGTAGAAGGTACAAGAATGTGCCTCTGTATCCACTGGCACAATGATGCACTTGTATGTAAGGACTGGGAGGAAGAGAATAGAGTATTGGCTGGAGTAGCTGAGAGAGTGAGATGTTATTGTGGTCAAGTGATTTGCTTACTTTACGGGCTGAGTTCAAGTTTTATTCACTGGTGTTAAGCTCGGTGTCTGACTGCATGTCTTGCCACAGGATTGTGATATATCGCACATATTAGTACAATAATTTGGTAATGCATCATACAGCGAGTTACAAAGCATTTACCATGTAATGTTTGGTATTTAAAAATACTCACAATACATTTTACATTTACAAGTATTTTAGGTACTGCAAAGTAGTTTCAGGTACTGAAAATATAACCCTTATTTCAGAAGAATCATATGACATATGGACATTACACCACAAGTCATGTGCTGTATTACGAGTTGCTAACAACAGGGTTTTTTTTTTGATTGGCTATATTTGCCTCAGTATGTGGATAAGCTTTCTTTGGGAAGTTGTTTGTGATGGGTGCATTAGCAGCAAGTCATTATTTTTTAACTTGACTCCATTTAGTTTTTCCATTTTGTTGTCTGTCTTGCTGAACTCTGTCATTCAGCTTCAGTTTTGGTCCTAGTTGTCCTTTATCCTCCTCACCAATTTCCTGTTTTGTTTTGATAAATATGTGTCCAGATGTCTTGTGATCATGACACGCAGTTAGCTGTCACGATGTGACAACTGAGCTTGTAGAGAAGTAGAAAGTCCAGAGTTTGTTTAACATTAGCACTGCTAGCACCAATAGCCTTGGGTTTTTCCATGTTAACGTCTACATCCTGGTGCAGAATATGGTTACACGTCTCTTCAAATGTTTCCTTATTTTCCAGTTTATTCTGACAAAGCCTATATAGAGTCGCTCTTTTTTATTTATTTTTTTATTAATTCATTTTCATTTAACGTCAAAGGTTTGCAGAACAGCACTGCTTAGCACAGCTGTCATATATTTACTTTCCTCTTTGCTCATTTACAGCTCACATTCATAAAGAGCAAGAGAGAGAGATAAGGGTGCCTCGATCTGCAGCCCCAGGTAGTGAATGTTGGCCTTTTAATATCAATGAACCATTAACTGCCATTGCACATTCATAAAATAAAAAAAATTTATAGAGCCAGATACTGTTTTGGTAGTTGAGAGCAGTGGGTATTTAGTAAAAAAAAAATGTATTCATGTTATGGAAACCAAGAAATCTTCATTAGGAAAAAAAAACAAAATTCTGTTGAAGTCTTTGAGCTCTTCAACACATTACAGTCTTTCAACTGAATTAGAATGTATTTTTATTGCCAGAAGGGGCATTGACGCACACCACTGCTTTTATGAATACAATTATAAACTGTAATATATTTATCATTTGTAGCAGTAAATAATCAATAGTGAGCTGCCTCTCCAGTCAGTTATTCATCCTGTCCATGGACGCAGACTCCAAGATCTTGGACCAGCAGCTTCTGTGAACTTAGTGTGGCGGCACCTGAACCAGTTCTCCAGCTGCTGGAGGTTCTGATCACCGTGGTTGTCTAACTTGCAGCGGGTTTCCAGAGTATAACAAGGATTACTGTCACCAGCTGCTGTCGACAGCAGTACAGTTGAAGTACGTCTCACTACAGGATGACGGATTCTCCAAAGATAAATTATCTAATAGCTGGTCATAACAGTGACCTCATCAGCTTGCTGCTGGGGGAGATACAAGACTGGAATTGTAAAAGTACAACTACCTTTGAAAAGGTGTCCAGTGCAAGATTTATGTCACAAGAGATAAACCCCTTTCATTCCTGTCAGTAAATGCCATCTTAGTGTTGATGTCATAAACAAGACTTTTTCCATTATGTAATGGTACATATTTGATAATATCCGTGATACATAAATAGCTACCAAACTAAAAAGAAAAAGATCATCATGTTGTACATCCATGAAAGTCTTTGAAAGCCTCTCATGAAATACAGTAACAATTAAAAAAGTAATTTTCACAAAGTAGTTGGGTATATGCCACGAGTGCCCTCTGTGTGTGAGTGCATGATTGCCTATCACAGGCAATCATGCACTGTAGCTGGAAAATGAAGAGGTTTAAAAAGTTCATCCATTGCAACATGTTCCATTTGTAATGCTCTCTGCTTTTCCCGGTTCTTTGCTGCTTGTTACCTTTCATGTATGAAGTCTGCAGATTGTTATCTGGAAACTAAACAACAACAAAACATCACAAGCTGAAAAGCTTAATTGTTGTGTAGTGCAGCGGTCCCCAACCTCCGGGCCTCGGACTGGTACCGGGCCGCGAGAGTTGAGGCTCAGGTGTTAAATGTATGGTTTTCCATGTTTTTATCGGTTTTCAGCGTTATTTTGTTATATCGTTTACTCGGTTTTCCTGGGTCTTTTCACGTGTGTTATGAATAAATCTTCTTTTTTTTCGGTACCAGTACTAGTTTTATTTTGTTGTATTTATCCGCGACACCTTAAAGGCCGGTCCGTGAAAATATTGTTGGGCATAAACCGGTCCGAGGCGCAAAAAAGGTTGGAGACCGCTGGTGTAGTGTACACCTCAACACAATGTGGGGCAAAGAAGTTTTATTTTCAAAAAAGGATATCTGTGCTTTTCCTTAGTGTTCAGATACAGTGGTCATATTCAGTAAAACTGATTTACTTCCACCTTCCACACTTCTTTTTTACTGCTCAGCTACTAATGATAAACTATCGATTAAAAAGAGATAGTTTATGAAGTTTGCAATATAGATCCATGATTACGTTTGCCCTCATGCAACTGGGGCTGAACCAGTGTAGGAGGGGTTTTGTGGACCAAGAATAAAATATGAAGTGAAACTAAGGTAAATATGAGGATATGGATTTTGTATGGAAACCAGGCTTTGCTATTGCTGTGGTAATGACATTTATAGTCATTTTTTAGATCAATACTTTTGGTGTATGTGGCAGCAAATCAGCTGCTGAAGTGGGCAGATAAAGTTTATGAAGCTCCGCTTTTCACTATTATATATTCCCACGTGGTAATGTGTGGGTAAGTGTGTGTTTTCTTTTTTCCTTTTTTGTTTTGGCATTTGGTCAAGTACAGTGGAGTTGTTGCAGAGTTCTCTGGGTTATTTAAAGAATGCAAGACCAACAAAGGTGGGGTTTTCCAGGGTCAGAATGGGCTGCTGAGCAGTGACCATAAATAGAATTAGTGAATATACAGTTCCAGCAGTGAGTCTGTCACAAATTCCAATTAAGAAATCTCGTTAGCAGATTGTTTTTATTACAGAATGAATGATTGGTTTTGGATAAAATCTCTTTGAGAAAAATTGTGCCTAACAAGAAAAGTAGATTATGATGTTAATATTACTAAGAAGAAGATATAAAACTGTTTTCAGGAAAAATAGCAATTACAGTTAGCTATTATTTATAAAACCAGTTTTGCAAGAAACATTTTGACAGATGTTCAGGTTTCAACTTATACAAGTATCTTTTGCTTTTAGGATGCTATGATCAGGGGTGCACATAAGTTGTCTGCACGTGTGCATGCACTGTCAAAATAAAAGATGCGCACCAGATAAGAAGTTGCAACGCGTGTTTGCGTGCATAAGATTTTCTGGAGGAGGACAGACATGATGGGAATATGCACCACATCTCTGCGTTCATCATTTGTTTGAAGGCAGCTCACCTCCTGCAACCACTTTTCCGAGAATATGCGCTTCTTTTGCGGTTCGGACTCCTTCTGACATTTCTTTGGAGGTGGAGGAACACCAAAGTAATCGCTTAAAGGAGCTTGCTTCTTCGACATCTTTAAGAATTCTAAACAAATGTCTGTCCTCCCCTGGCTATGACAGTAAACTGAAAAGAATGGGTCAAAAATGGAGTCTGGTTGATATACGGTGAAGGTCACCACTTACTTCAATAATGATAATAATAATTGTCAATAGAAAATTGTACTTGGTAGTCAGTATAATCTTTTAATAATATAAGTTTACATATGGTAGTGATAGGATGTGCGATCCTCAATAGTCTGCAAAGGCTTTGTGTGCATTCCAGAGTGCTCTGGCATTCACACCCACATCCTGGGAGCATGGGAAAGGTTGTACCTTCTTTTATTGTTTTACGGTAGGATAAACGTAGCTATGTCAGTATTAGTCTAAGTGCCTTTTTTACATATAGATGAACTGTTGAATTTTCCAGACCAGCAGGTTTAGGGAAGTCGTTTATGGGGTCACACAC